GGTCCCCAATCTTTTTGCGCCTCTTCCCACCGGATCACCCGCTGGCGGTATCGTGCAACGCGGACTTGCTTCTCGTCTCCCCCGCGCCTCAAGGCCGAGCTTCCTCGTGGAGAGCTGGACCTGAAGGCCGAGGAGTGGAAAGAGAACATGATGGAGATGTGGCTCGCTCAGTGCGCCAATACTCCGCCGGGAGTGCCACCCCCACCTCCGCCTTTCAACGTGGAGGCATGATTCATCAAAGGTATGTGATGCTGTGAGGGCGCACGCGGTGGGCTGGAATTCTTTTGACCTGCAACTGATCCCATTGCACCTGTGATACCCCACCCTCATCAGCTCCCCATTTTGTGTCGATTGAAAGTATCGACCAAGGATCTTCAAGGAAACTCCCAAGCACCGAAAATCTCCCAAAAGAGTGTGGTTCGCGCGGGGTATGGGTTTGATGGATTTGGGTTCCTCTCGCGCAGAGTTTGGGACGGTTAGATCCTGTTGCTTCTCTTCCCTTCTGTTGGCTTTCGACCAAAATCATCATCTGTCATCTGTTACCTATCTGCTCTGTATTGTCGCCAACCTCCCCTCCCCTCCCCACTCTTCCTCTCCTGATGAACGAACTGTGCAACCTTTCAGCTTTCTCAGGGCAGATATATAGATCTGGATTTTATTCATAAAATACATCAGGAAAAAAAACAGCAAGCGATGCCACGGCTAATGCCGAATCCGTGGGAGGAAGGGAGGGGGAAGTCGAGGCGGGGGAGCGAAGGAGGGGGGAGCGGTTGCGGGGGAAAGGAGAAGGTGAAGCTTGAGGGTTGGAGGCCAGAGGCTAAAGGGGAGAAAGGTGGTGGGCGGGAGAGAGGTGGGGGAGACCGACGTCGTGTGAAAAAAAGCACAAAAAAAAGCAACAGAAAAGAGGTAACCCCTCCCCCCCTCCCCCACCACCACCTCCGCACGGGTCGGATCGCGTAGGAATCAACGAATCTCATCGGGTGCGTTCGGTCGGATCGGGTCGGATCGGATCGCCTCCCTCTCCGCTTCCCCTACCACTCCCTCGCCCTCCATCCGCCCCCTCCCCCGCCCTCCATCCACAGCCTCTCCCTTCTCGCTCTATCGCACGGATCAGGCGCCATGACCAAGAGGGTATCTTCTGTGCCCCGCCCAGACTCTGGATATGGTCGGCCGCAGCGGAGTCCGTAGGGGCTGAAGAGCGGCGTTGAGCTGACGATGGGAGAGAGAGCGGCCGGATTGAGTGGTGGAGAGAGAGGACATGTAGCTTGAGGACTTTGACAGATTTCCTATCTGGGCGTTCGCGGACTTGGCTTCGTTGAATTTTCTGGTTTCTTTTTCATGATATCATATCCAGATACTATGGTCAGAGCACATGCTCAGGCAACGGGAATCTGATACCCTCTGGATACCTTGCCCTTGAATCAGACTCGCCAGAAAAATGCGCGGGAGAAAATGGGCCGTCTAGTGGCCGTCCATGTGTCCATACTCAATCGCAGGTCTCATGAACGTCCTGTGGGGGCGGACTGCGACAGACCCGGGCAGGCCGTGACTGTTCATGCTAATTGCGTGGAGTGGTGTCGCCGCTTGGAGCCCCTTTGCGGCCGGCGATGCACAGTGTGTGGTTCGATCGATACCCTCGTTGGTGAATAGGAAGCCGAGGTGCTTGAAGGAGTCTTGGAATGGTAGAGGGTGGCCATAGAGCACGAGTGGGTCCGTTTCGTTCTCCGGGGATGTGAGTACTTCACATTTCTCCGGAGCGAAGAGGAACTCTCAGGCTGTGCTGTAGTCTGCGCAGACGTCCAGGAGAGCTTGAAGGCCAACGCGGGTCTTCGAGATCAGTGCTATGTTGTCGGCATACATCAGCACGTTGATGTGCACTCGTCCTGAGGGTGTGCCGAGGTCGATGCCAGTGCCAATGGCGTGGAGGTCGGCGAAGAGTGCGTTAATGAAGATGGTGTAGAGAATCGGGTTGAGGACCGTCCCCTGCAGGAGGCCTCGGGCGAGCCAGAACGGGCGGGAACGGGCTCCACCGACGACGACGGTGGAGTTGCAGTGATTGTAGAGCGCGCAGAGGATGCGTGAGACTCTTAACCTCAAGGATGCGGGTTCGACCCCCGCGTTGAAGTGTTACACAAACGCTCGTGCGGAGCGCAACGATGCTGTCCATTTTTGTACACCTTTTCCCCTGTGCAGCTGCGGACCTGCTGCTGGTCCGACGACTGATGATGTGAGGTGGGGTGGTGCGCCCAAATTCACCACCGACTGATCAGTGATTTGTAATGCAGATCGCAAAACTCTTGCTGAAGCGATATATGCCGTGCGGAAACTCAAATGCCCGGCTAGCTCAATCGGCAGAGCGTGAGACTCTTCATCGCAAGTTTGCGGGTTGGACCTCCGCGTTGGGCTGTTACACGAGCGTTCTCTTGAAACGTAAGGATATCTATTTCCGCACTCCTTATTCTCTCACCACCCTGTGCAGCTGCGGACCTGTTGCTGGTCCGACGAGTGAGGTGGGGTGTTGCGCCAAATGCACGACCACCGACCTTGACTGCTGCCAGCGACGATGCACCTGATAACGCACGTCCATCGAGTGGACATCCCTCCAACACCGGCGCGCAACGGGAAAGGCGAAGGAGGATGACTTTGATACGCATTATTCTGCAGATTTCCGGCATTATCTCCCTGCCGAATCCACTAATATCCCCCTCTCCCCTCCCCGCTCATCCTGACTTCAAACGGAGAGAACTACAAGGATAGATGTTCAGCGACTCAAACGGTCAAGGAATCAACATCCACCAACATCATCTGCACGTCCAGGAACGTCTAGGAGTGATGCATGTCGGCGGGGCCGTTGGCCGAATCAAACGGCAGAGAGAAGCACTCAGAACTTGGAGTGATATGTTCATCTTCATTTTCTGCCCGGCCACATTCACATCAACTTCCCTCCCTCGAGCCTGGTACATGGCCATGCCACATGACCAGACGAGTATGTCTAGGCAGCAACAAGGGTCTGGCCCGCCTCCCACGTCTGGCCCGCGGGGAGAGTGACCGGAGTGGAGACTTCTCCGAACTGGAGGTGGGGGGGATAGAATGGCAAGGGTTAGAGGTCGGCATAGCAATTTTCGCACGATTTCGAGTCCGACCTCTCCATCAGCAATTTGATTTTAACTGACCTCGATGCAGATCATGTTCTTGTACTGAGAGGGGCGAGATAGAGGAGCGGGGATATCCCCCGTGGGCTTTAGTACAAAGCGATTCATAAGCCACCTTTGGGGTCGTCACGGCGAAACGGGGGACCCACCTCCTCGTCACCGAAATCAGCCATCGCCTTCGCCTTATCGACCCAGGGGTTCCAAACGACTGAGAATGGAAGGAAGGTGGGGGAGGGGGTATGCGAGAGGTATTTGATTAACAGCCACTTTGTTGATCTAACAGCTAGCCCAAAAACCTAACGGACTCGACTGCGCCTCCTGTTCTTCGGAATCGTCCCTGGTACGCACCAACGTCCGAGAAGCCCTTTTTCACGAGCACGACGCCGGCCCCGATACCGGATCCGGCAAGGGAGATGACATCCGCGGAAACGTCGCGGTATACGCGGTCGACCTCGCCCGCGACCGTCACGGACTCGCGCGATTCGACGTGAAGGGTTGCGCCGTTGTCTGTCACTTTATCGATGAAGGAACGGCCTGAATATGCGCACAATAGGGTGGGGAGGAAGGAGATAGTGAGATTTATATACACCGCGAACGCGACCAAAAGAATGAATAGCACTCCATGCCCTCCATTACTGGGACTACCCCCCACCCACCCCCGAGAACGCGCGACATCCTCACCCTCCAACCCCTCAACAGACGCCTTCGAGATATCCCCCAGGCCCAGGTAAGTGTG